TAATTATTTTATAATTTATAACTTTAATATATATATATATATATATATATTATTCATATTTCTTGCATTTTGTTCATTTTCTTCATTTATCAATGTTTATTGACTATAAACATGCATAAATTTTAGTTATGAACATGAATTAAAATTGAAAAAATGATAGTAAAATTTCTTTAAATTATTTAAATGATATATTGATCTCATGAAATGGCATAATTTTTCTGAAGTTTTAAGGAATGTTTTTGTCATTAGAAAATTATAAGAAATGACACTTTTGCCCTTCATTCAAATTAAAAAAATTCACAACTTTTATTCTTATATTTATAATTTTTTTTAAATTCACAACAATTTAATAGTCATTCACAACTTCACATCTGCAGGTCTTGATATGTATCAAGTATTAAAAATTCATAAATTTTTATTCACAACTTTTGTTCCTACATTAGTAACTTTTATTTCTAAATTCACAACTCTGCATCTGTAGGTCCTGATATATATTAGATATTAAAAATTTATAATTTTTCATTCACAACTTTCATTCTTATATTAGCAAATTTTGTTTCTAAATTTGCAATAATTCAATAATCATTTGTAACTCCGCATCTGCAGGTCTTGATATTGAAAATTCATAACTTTTCATTCCCAACTTTTGTTTTTATATTAACAACTTTTGCTTCTAAATTCACAACAATTCAGTAGTCATTCGCAACTCCACATTCATAGGTCTTGCTTTGCATCAGGTGTTGAAAATTTATAATTTTTCATTTACAACTTTTGTCCCTAAATTTGCAACAATGCAACAAGGAATTATAATTTATCAGTACCTTCTGTAAATTACTAAAACAGTAAAAATGAGTTACCACTCTAATATAAGAAATAACAACTTTTGTTAATTTAAATGACAAGAAAATCATAAAAAGTGACAACTATTAAAGGTTTTGTTGTCAATTATATGATCTATAACTTGCATCAAAATACCTTACAACTCTTTTGACAAAAATATATGAAGGGTTGAATCTTCTATATATAAGATGTTTCTGCTATGTCATATTCACAATCCAAAAAAACAACAGTCATCTTTGCACACTATACAAGACATAAGCCATATGAATTCACAAAATATACACAAAAAGGGTGTTATATCCACATCATATCTTAGTTTGGATTAGAATTCCTACAAGTCTTTCGTGTATGACCTAGTTGATGGTATAGAGAGCAATGATAAATCCTACTGTTCTTATATTTGTACAAAAATTTATGAGCAATGCTATGTTTGTATAATGCTTTTCTAAAGGTTTTAGCATGGGGAAAGGTCTACCCTGCACCTGATAACAAATCTCTTTACTTAGAAGAATTAAGCTTTGGCATTGATGTAGGTGCACTTTATACTACACATGTTAATGTTATATGTTCTCCAGAAGTTTGGCAAGTTAGACATTCTTTACCACTTTCAAAGGCTACATGTTCAAAATCATGATCTACAATAGCAGGAGAAGCAGAGTTTGGTTCCGAAAGTAATAAAATTTACTCTATCCTGCATTCACAATCTATCCAACTTCATGTGTCATTTACATTTACATTAACAATCACAACTCTAATTACTAAAATAACAACTATTATATAGTAAATGACAGCTTTATTTAGAGGAATTAACATAGTAACTTGCACCGATGCTTCCTTAATTGTTGTTTTTCTTCTGTCATTTCCTTTACAACCTATATATACATGACTGCTTCCAACATTATGCTTAAATAGGTAGCAATTTCATTATCATCAACAAGGTCTATAAAAGTCATTTCATCAAATCTCATAGTGTATTTCATGTCACTCAAATTAGTGTCAATAGCAAAACAAGATGATATCATTATTCTAAATTATTCAAGTGTCATCTCTTCTCTTATCATTTTTACCCTCACACTCCCCCCATCATATTGTATTTTACCTTTAATATTTTTTTACAAAATGTCTCCCCATGTAAAAATAACAAAATAGTGCCTTTCTAAAACTAAAAGCAAAAGAAGTTATTTTTCATGCCAACTTAAAATAATGAAATAGCCATTCATTAACATGTCTATTTCTCAAATATCATGATCACATATCTGTTATGTTTTATCTAACAATAACTATTCTTCTTATATTCAAAATTTTGTATTAGTTATTTACAACTTTAATTTATACATTTATAATATAACTGAAAATGATATATTATTTATTATTTATCCATGAGCAAGCATCCATACCCACATAATACAAAAAAAATGAAGACCTTAATTATTTACGCACATTAACTCATATCAACTTTAATTATCACATATGGGAGGAGAAGAAATTTATTCACGTATAGCAAAGCTAACAGAAGAAGAATGATTACTTATATACACCCATGTACAGTAGCTCAACAAAAAAAATGATGATGTATAGTAACTCACAAAAAAAAAAAAAGATAAATGAGAAGGAGAAAGAGGAGAAGCAGAAGCAAAAGGAAAAGAAGAAGACCGCGAAAAAGAGAACAAGAGGAGAACAAGAAGACGATGAAGTAGAGGCAAGAACGTGCACCAATTACTCTGCACTGAGGCTTGAGATTTTTATTTTATTTGAGGACAATTTGGTCATTTCTTTTAATTCTCTAATGACAAAAAAATTTCATGAGATTTCATGAGAATTATGCTATTTCGTGGGACTAATATGTCATTTAAATAATTTGAATGAATTTTTTTTATCATTTTTCCATTAAAATTTTTAAAATAAAAATAACAAAACTGGTTCAACTAGTTTGCCTAACAATTCTATCATTTTTTACTAGTTCAACTAATTCTCAAAATAAGTAATTCTTTTGTTATAATCAGATTGTATTTAGGATCAGTTCCTAGTTCAACTGTTTGAACTAATCAATCCAGTCCAGTTCTCATAATTAACATAGCCAAGTTTAATAGAAAAATCTGAAGAAAAAAAAAGAAAATCTAGAACAAAATCAGATTTCAGCAAAATTGAAGCCTACATTGAAGCATCGAACAACGTAGGAGTACGTAATAAGGAAATAGTTATCCTTTTTGTGATCTCTTGCTTGTGTGCTTCGTTTCATTTGGTTGTCCGAATGGATACCATGCGTGTAACTTTTGTAAGCGACTTTGTAGAAACAGAACTAGATGGCTTTAATTTTCTACTCCTATTCTTATTTTGTTGACGAAGTTGATTTGTTTATATAAAATTGAAAAAAAAAAAAGAATCGACATATGGAACTATGGAAGGCCAGAGAAGCACCCCCAGGAAATCATCACGAACTCTATCTTATATAAAATTAAAATTAAGATATTTTTAATTTTATTATATTTTTAACAAATAAAAAAATATTATTTAGATTTTCAATTGAACAATTTTTAAAGGATATAAGTTTAATTATACATTTTGAAATAGATTTTAATTACCAATTATTAGTTAATTAAATAATATTGAAAATTTGGTCGTCAATTAAATTTATTGAAAGTTTAACAAGTAAGTGACTAGGGTACATATTTAATATTCATTCTTGTATAGAAGATATTCATTCATATTTTTATTTGAAAATAATTATAATTTCTTTAGTTAATTGATAAAAACATTGTTAGATATATTTAAAATATTCATATACAATTTGAATTTGAATTGTTTAACTTTATATTCTTATGAATTCTTGCTTTATATCAATAACGTATTTTAATTTTATTATATAATTTTTTTAACAAATCAAAAACTTCAAATCATTATGTTTACAGTTTTCAATTGAGCATTTTTTATTATTTATAAAAAATTAATTATATATTTCGAAATAGGTTTTAATGGTAGTTATTAGTTTATTGACAAAACCTTTAAAATTTAATTACTGATTGCATTATTGAAAATTTAATAAGTAAGTTATAAATTATATTTTTTAAGTTTAAAGATCAAATAACTGAGGAAAAATTGTTTAGGATTAAATTATATCCTTTTTGGTTTTATCATATGGATAAAATTGTTCAAGATTTGCATGGAATCTTAAAAATCATGTAAATAAGAAATTTAGATATTTCCTCCATTCAAAAATAAAAGACATTTTTAACTGAATTTCATCCCCTAATAAAGTAATTACTTACTTTTAAACTAATCATATCTTTTTATATTTACTCTTATTAAATACTTTACAATAAATATGAAGTCATTATTAATAAAGACACTTTAAAAAAAAAGGTAATGATTACACATATAAAAAATAAAAATATCTTATATTTTTTAATATTTAATTTTTAAAAAAATATGTTACATTTTTTAACAAGGAGTATATAAATAGATAGACAGACATACTATTGTTTATTAATATAAGAAAAAATGAATTGCATATGAAAATTTAAAGATTACAAAATTATTAATTTAGATATTTCATATTAAATCTTCTTTATCATGACTCAATATAGTTATCAATTAAATTGATCAAAATCTTATGAAGAAAATTATAAATTATAAATTACTTATTCCGTTTCAAATTATAAAAGAATTTTGGAGGAATTTCATTATCCTATAATATAAGACAATTTAAAAAAAATTTTGTAATGATATATTGTTAATATTACGATTCAAGTAAAAAGAGAATCAATAATGATATTATAACATAATAATTAAATATGTACAGATATTTTTTTAAAGTTTATAATTTTATTTTAAAAAAATAAATTTATAAAGCATCATTACCATATTTATTGGCAAACGCAATCTTATCTTAAATTATTTTATAATTTAAAATAAAAAAGTATTACCATTTTTTAAAATCAAATAATCAATAAAACTTGTTTAGGAAAGTTTTGATTAAAAAGTTAAAAATCTGTTGATATTATGAAGTAATTCAAATTAAATTAAAGTGACATTCCTTCGTTTGAATTTATCTAGTTTTAAAGACATTATCCTTTTACCAGGCATGCTTTAGGATTCATCCATAAAAACATCACCGTATGACCGTGGATTTGCGATCGATTCCATTACCCACGATTTGCGATCGATTCCATCACCCACGATTTGTGATTTCTTCTACAAGACGAAACCACTTTAGTAATACTTGGAGCGAAAGGACGAAGTTTCTAGATAACAGTCGTCGAAAGCTAAGGTCGTCAAGTCAACCAGACCAGGTCTTTCTCTTTATTTGTTCAGAGCTGAGCAGCTCCTCCCCATCACTGAGACGCCTGAGATCTTGACTTCGGAAGTCTGCACGCGGCGTTACAATGGCAAGCGAACTTGAAAAGAAGGCCAATGAAGCGTTCTTCGAGGATGACTTCCCTCTCGCTGTTCATTTGTACTCTCAAGCAATCGACTTGGATCCCTCCAACGCCGATTTCTTTGCCGACAGAGCTCAGGCCCACATTAAACTCAACAACTTCACTGGTTCTTATTTCTCACTATTTTTTTTTTTTTTTACTTTTGTTGTGGTTGGTCATGTATATCCGTAAGTTTTTGGAGTGAATCTTGCTTTTCTTAAAGTTTTTCAATGTGTTTAAAAACGATGAAAGCAGCGCAATCAATTGCCTTCAATCCTGTTTGTTATGCGTATGGTGCGGAAAAAACAATTTTTTTGGCCGCTAGATTTGTCTTTTATGTGAAGATTGACTACTTGACTTGTGGATTTGATGTACTGAACAGAAGCGGTTTCGGATGCAAACAAAGCAATCGAATTGAACTCATGGTTGACAAAAGCGTATCTTCGTAAAGGGTCAGTGGATTTCATGATATTTGTGATTTACGTATTTTCCTCTATAATTGAAGTGCGCTCGCGCGTTTGTATCCTTGTTTTTTTTCCTCTCTTCGATGCTTTTCATTAGAAGCTTAGAACTGCTTTTGGAAGCGATGTCCTCTGCTTTTTCGTAATTACATGTTACAAAAATGATGCCTGGCATTTTCGTTTAAACATCAGATTAGTTTAGCACCTCTTTTTCAAGCAGGCCGTGATTAGTGTATCAATTGATGCGATATCTTCGAATTTGAAAATTCAGGACTGCATGTTTAAAGCTTAAAGAGTATCATACTGCCAAGGTGGCGCTTGAGACTGGTGCTTCACTGTGTCAAAATGATTCAAGATTCACCAAGTTGATCGACGAATGTAATCGCCATGTCACAAGTAAGTATCTACTCTATGACCTCTTAGAACACGTGGTTAGGATCATGTGCGTAACTTTTACAGAAGCATGTACGGCTGCGTTAAATTGTTTGGTGTATTACCGTCTTGTTATTTTCTGTTAACGATTGTTGACTTCAATTCTTTTTCCTGATACATTTCTTGTACCCTTTGAAATCCCATGTCTTAGCTTTGCAATCTGCTTTACGATGAGTTGGCGATGTCTCCTTTATTCTTTTTACATTATTTGGGTGGGTAACATGTCTCGTGTAAATTCTGTCAGAGGAATCCAATGGTCTCACTAACTCTTTATCAACAAATGGGGCAGCATTGACTGTATTGCCTACTAGAACTGAAGAAGATGAAAGATTTAGTCATGCGAGTCAAACACACACTGATACCTCTGCGAAACCAAGATACAGGTGGCGTCTGTTACCTTTTCTTTTCTCTTTATTTTTTTTAATTGATTAAAGCTCTTAGGAAGGTTAACTTGTAACATTATCTCCATCTTTCAACTTGTTTGTATGGTGAGATCGGATGCTTCTGTATCTGATTTTATCTTGTACTGTTTCCTTCGTAACATCACGTGAGGAATTTTTATCTAATAATTTTTTATTACGTTTCAAAATTAATGAGGAATTTGCTTGGGTGCTGTTTTTTTTTTTAATAATTTTTTTAACTGGATGCCATAAGAGCCGTATCCCTTGAAATTGTGAAACGTTTCACCGTATTATAATTGCTTCTCTCCTTTGTCTGTCTGTCTTCCTGTCTTATGCATCTACATGTCATTGTCTAAATGCATGTTGAATAACGTCGATCATATGGTTGTCTATTGATTATTGCTCGAACAGACACGAATACTTCCAAAAACCAGAGGAAGTGGTTTTGACAATTTTTGCAAAAGGAATACCCGCAAAAAATGTGGTGGTTCAGTTTGGTGAACAAATTGTAAGTTTATTATCTGGCCATCTCTTGTTTTCAGTGTGCTGGTCACCTCATATTTTGCTGTACAGAAGTATCAGATCTGTTAAAGACTCAATTTACTAAATGTGAAGCACTTATTTTGGCAGCTGAGCATTACTATTGATGTTCCTGGCCAAGAAGCCTATCGCTATCAATCTCGATTATTCGGAAAGGTATTGCATCATCTTAACTGGCTACTGAATCTATCTACTTCCTTTTAAATGTAGAAACTCTATGGAGAAGCATCCATTTTTTCATCCCTATAAAAATCTCACACTCAGGTTGTTGGTGGTGATATTTCATTACCCCTTGTCTGGGGCTTGTGGGGTGATTTATCAATAAGTTCTGTTTTGTCAGTGAAAATTTTAGAAATTTAGTTTATTGATCATATGATTTGTCAGTAATTTAACTTTTTTTTCTTCTCCTGCATGGATCAAAATAGATAATACCTGATAAGTGCAGATTTGAGGTGTTGTCAACCAAAGTTGAAATCCGTCTAGCAAAAGCTGAAGATATTAATTGGACATCTTTTGAATATGCCAAGGATGCACTTCCTCAGACAAAAAATATTCCATCAAGTAAGCTGTGCTGCTATACTGTGTTTCTAATTGTCATGACTATTGGATTAGTTGACTGTCTGGGCCAACAGACTCTCTAATTTGCTGCCATTTCAATTTATCTCTTTTGTTTGATGATGTAGATTCCTTAGTAGAATGATTGCTTGTACATTACTCTTGTTTCCTGTTGATAAACTTGCTTCTGATTTCTGAATCCTAATGGGTTTATATCCGCAGCTGGATCTCATAGGCCTACATACCCATCATCAAAGGCAAAGAAAGACTGGGATAAGCTGGAAGCTCAAGTAAAGAAAGAGGTATTTTATTTTATTTTAGTTCAATATGTATCCTTTCGATGTATCATGAACTAACAGATGTTTACATCTCATTATTGGAGAGCATGTGATGTGTTTAACAAGTAGAATATTGGCATGAAAATGATATGTCTTTCAGGAGAAGGAAGAAAAGCTAGATGGTGATGCTGGTCTGAACAAGCTGTTCAGAGATATATTCCAAAATGCAGATGAGGACATGAGGAGAGCGATGACTAAGTCATTTGTGAGATGCCAATTCTGTGATTGCTTAGTAAGATAAATAAAGATACATAGTTTTCTTTGTTAATCATTTAGCGCAAAATGCTTTGCAGGTGGAGTCCAATGGGACAGTGCTGTCAACAGACTGGAAAGAAGTGGGATCCAAGAAGGTTGAGGGCAGTCCTCCGGAAGGCATGGAGATGAAGAAATGGGAATACTGATTGACCCCGCAGTAACTGCAGTCGTAGCTTGATTTCAAATTATTTTCTCTCCTTGTTGTAAGAATTGTGGCTTCAAAACTTGCCTCCTTTCTTCTCAGAGACCAATAACTTTCTTTTGTTTGAAAAGACTTGTTGAGCTTGAATTAATGAGTTGTGAAAATCCCGTATTTGTGATCAGCTCCTGAGCTAATGAGTAAAACCATTTCTGGTGAAGGATTGATTTGATTATCTCAACTAGGCCGACCCATCAACCTTTGAGATCGGATACTGGCTAATTTTAATTGAAGCAAATTTTGCAAATCGAAATCGAACAGTAGACACAATGGGATGCAGCAGAGGACTTCGACAAGGAGCGTGCTCCATGTTCTGATGCTCAATGCAATAAGGGTGATAGGGAACGTGGCAACTCGAAAAATCCCTCGAGGAAGAGAACGGGCATTGTTATAGTGGACGAGTCTCATGCATTACGTAGTGATGAAGAAGATCTAATCTTCAAATGTATGAACCAGAGTAATGAAGAAGAAACGTGAGAGAAATGGTTTTTCAGAATGAGATTAGATATTAAATCAGAAAAGTCAATGGTTCATGGTTTGTATGGTTTAATCGAGTTAAATCAATAGTCAAAGGTGACATAATAGTTAAATTTAAAAAATTATATATATATAATAATTTAAATATAAGAAATAAATATAAATTATTAATTAACTTAAAAAAATTAAATATTTTAAGTTTATCATTACTTAACAAGCCATATGATATAACATAACATCAATTGATTAAAAAAATTGATCATTTTCTAAAAAAAAGATCAATAAAAAAATAAAGTTTTTTTTTAACAATTTAGTTCTTGAAAATCGGATTTGATTCTCAATCCGAAACGGTTGACCTGACTCAACCTCCAAATGAAAAAGTCAACGGTTCATGATTCATATGATTCAATTAGGTTAGATCAATTATCAAATTGGTGATATAATAATTAAATTAAAAAAATTATATATGTATATAATAATTTAAATATAATAAATAAATATGAAATTTCTAATTAACTTTAAAAAAATTAAATATTTTAAGTTTATCATGATTTAACAAGTTACATGATATAACATAACATCAACTGATTAGAAAAAGTGATCATTTCCTAAAAAAAGATCAATAAAAAAATATTTTTTTTTGAATAATCCAATTCTTGAAAATTGGATCTAATTCTCGGTCTAAAACACCCTAACCCAACTCAACCTCCAAAATGATTTTCATATATTGATTGAACGAGAATTTAGACTTGTCTTGTCCAATTTGATTTTTAAATCACTACAAAAAACATGTCGGTCTCTTTCTAGTTTTTATCATAACTAGATTGACATGATAAAGAATAATATTATGAAAATTATGACTGAAAAATATATTAATTTAAACAATATTTTTAGATTAAAATTTTTAAATTCAGATTCAAATTCAATGCAACCCACCTTTGAATAAAATTTGATAGATGCATGATATATATAGAGAGAGAGATGATATCTTGTATGAAAGAGTATTTTAATACCTTTATTGCATTTGTATTGAAAAGCCCTTAATTTTTTACGAGTAAATAATAATTTAACACTTAAACTATAAATTCAAAAGCACTTTGAATTTCAAACTCATTTTTAATGCATTTTCACTCCTAAATATTTAAAATCATGACACTCTACCCTACTATTAACTTTGTTAGTTGATTAGTTACAAAAAAAGACCCCAAAATTTTAATTTTTGGATTCTTTTATTTTTTTTTTTGTGATTTTTGAAACAATTACTCTCTCCATTCAAAAATATAAATTATTTTACAATAAGTTAAATATTTAAAATGTGAGACATTTAATCTTTTGAGATGTAATCATTATATTTTTTTTTTAAAATACCCTTATTGATGAATGACTTTATATTTATTATAGAGTGTTTAATAAAAATAAACATAAAAAGATAAAATTAGTTTGAAATTAGGTAACTACTTTATTAAAAAGTAAAATTTAATTAAAAATACCTTCAGTTTTTAACAGAAAAAGTAACTAATAAAGTTAACAGTAAGAGAAACATTGCCACAAATTTAAATGTTGAGGGACAAAAATGCAAAAAAAAAAAAGTTTAACATTTTAAATGTTCTTAGAACCCCATTATTTAAGGGCCAAATTGCCATTTTACCTTTTTTATCATTAAAACCAACAAGCATTGATCTTAGTACGAGAGACTGTAATTGCTTAAATACAAAATCTTAAATTTAAGTATGTATGAATATAGAAAATATTTTTAGGAGAGCTATCTCTAATTAAATTCGACAATACTCAAATCTGGCACAGTTAAATACAGCCGTTACTTGGGTGACCATTTTTTTTTTCTTTTTTTTCCCATTCCTTCTATCAAACTTAAGTAGCTCTCTCTCATGACAAAAAGTGGAGAACGATAACATCAGCATCCACATTCGTATTCACTTTGGAATGTGAATCTCATGCAAAACATCCTATAAACTTTATAATATACATTGACATAACGATATCTTCAAATACTAGTAGCAGAATTAGCTATTTCCAAACAGCAGTTCTATGCTACGGGGTATGTTTAACTATAAAACCATATTGACCCGAAAAAAGACTCCTCATGTACACTGTACATTTTGAACAAAAACAGCATGAAATATTAACTTGTTAGAGGATAATTACAAGCATTTATCATACCCAATGGGCACTACCTGGCGTGGGGTGATACAATAGTTGGTCGGACGGACGGAGGCGCCAGCGGCCTTGCAGTTTGCGCTGATTGAGTTGGCTCAATTATAAGCTGTCTAACAGCATCAGAATATTGCCGACCTGTGAGACTCCCACGCATTCGACCTGTCGGCCTCCAGTCCGAATCTGATTGCAAATTCAATAAACCAGCAGGCCTAGATATTGGCTGTGCTGGTCCTCTCACATTTCCACTCCGCTCACCAGACAAACCCCGGAAACTGTCACTGGCAAAAGACGAGGCTGCTCTGGGAATTTGGTGTTGAATTGGCAAGGGTGTTGACTGTCTGGCCACCCGCCCAGCATTCATATCCCTGGCTGGTTGGCCATTTGCTGGAATTCCTGCTGCCCGACTGATGCCAGATTGTGAACCACCCAATGGAATAGGAGATCGGGAGGAACGCACAGCACTTGATGACTGACCAATTGATTGAGTTCTTGGATTGAGAGCTTGCTGTAGGTGTGCATTTTGAAATCCACTTAAAAAGCTGGGTGTATTGTATGAATTTGGCAGTTGACTTGGTGCTGAAGCATTAGTTGTCTGTGGGGCTCGGCCCTGGGATTCAATGAAAGGCAAAATCATGTATACAAGTGATGCAAGGGATTCACAAATTCACTGCAATTTCATAGAAGGTATCCTGAAAATTGACTTGAACCACGTATAAGCTATGCAGCACCAGAAGTAATCATATAAGTCGTGCAAATCCACTAACACTAACACTACACACTGACCTATGCTGATTCACTAGCTGACCCATCCCCACTCAATAACAAAGCACAACACCACACATAGCAGCAAACACAAAACATAAAATGACCACAGTAGAAAAAATACACAAATGACACGAGCCACAAACACGAGACAAGTGAAGCTTAAAATAAGGCTCTTCTAATGGATTTAAATATTGATTTCCAAAGTATCGTGACCAAACTAACAGCAACAATAGGTTAGGGATAGGACACGAATGCTTAAACCATACTAAATATTGAAAAATCATGGGAGAAAGATTGGATTTCAATCTAATGTAACATTTTTTTGGCCAAAAATCTATCGTAACATTGCCAAACATCTATGATGCTACTCTAAAAAACTGCAAATTCCTGGAGACAGCAATTACTGTATCTCATTCTTTTAATATAAAAAATAAACTTTTAACAAGCCAAAATAAGCACAACTCATTCCTCAGACTTCATGTAATGCACAGAACCTGAAAACCCAAAAATAATGGGAGAAAGATTAGATTTCAATCTAATATAACATTACCAAACATCTATGATGCTGATCTAATCAACTGCAAATTCCTGGAGACAACCAATTACTGTAACTTATTCTATTAATATAACAAATAAACTTTGAACAAGCCAACCAATTTATAAGCACAACCCATTCCTCAGACTCCATGTAATGCACAAAACCCACATGTAATTATTTCTACTACATTTCCTTCTGGCCAAAAGGCCAAAAAAAGTTTCAATTACTTGACAACCTGGAAAAAAACCCGAGTGTAGCTAGTTAGTTTTGATATTCATAAACCCTTGTCAACTAAACAAGATACTCATTCAGTGCACTATTATTAACGTTCTTTCTTCTCCTATCCAATAGACCGCAACATATCAACCCAGAAAGAGAAGCAAGGAACAATACAATGGAGCATAGCAGTAGCATGTTATCATTTGACGTGGGGATTAAACATTATTCTAGGTAAGGCTAGGGAGTGCAGGAGGGAAAATGTTCCCCTATGTATATAGTCAACATCTTATAAAAGGAATAGTGGCAGGGATGCTGAATAAACTCAACCTGTGTTGCTGAGTGATGCTGCAATACAGATGAAGTTATGCCCACGACCTGAGGAAGATTCATAGTGGGTCGGGAGAAGTGCTGCCACCTTTCTGTATCACTCAGTATAGGACTGAGACCATTGGCTGGGCTGGACACAGAAACACGAGGAGCAACAGTGGAACTACTGGGCATCAAGGGACTCAAATTAGTTCTTGATCTTTGCTGTGGTCCCAATGCCTGGGATTGTGCTGGGAGGGCCTGAATTGCTACTGGATTCCTATTAACATGTCTTGGTATTTGTTGTGACCTCCCACTCTCATTGATAGCTGAATTCAAATGGTTTGGCTGCTGCATTTGGAAATTGTTTGGTGCAGAAAACTGATTTTGCAGAGTGGAGTTCAAAGGAAGAGCGATGCCATGATCCTCAGCTTCTTGATTAATTGCTTGAGAAATGGCATCAGTCAGAACAGGGTGCGCACAGTTGCCAACAACTGTTGGGGCATCCAACCTACCAGAAGCAAGGTGAACTCCAGTCCAAAAGTCATCTTCCACTTGAGTGGTCGCATCTTGATTCACCCCAGCAGAGTTCATACCCAAGGAAGTTAAAATTGGGACGGTAGATTGACTTTGAGGATCTGCCAGGGGAGGTTTTCTGTCAGAGGTTTCACAAGCATCCAATATCTCCATGTCATCATCATTGGTGAGGTCCAAAATATCCGAAAGAACCCCAGGGGAGCAAGTAGATTCTTTTGGCTCAGTCAGTTCCTTTCCAGAATTGTGGGCACCATTCTGCATTTTATCCACATTATCATCATCTTTGAAAACTGCTTTCCATGACCCATCTGCACTGATGACCACTTCCGTAACATTGTCACCCACATTTTTAAGGACCTATGTCAACAGATAAAGAAAGGTTTACTCTGCTGCCTTTTCACCCTCCTGCTCTATAGAAGTCAAAGTATAGTGTAAACAATAGCCGATTGAAAGATTATAGATGTGAATATACTTGCCTCAACCATATTTCGGTCAAGGCAAATATCTGCATAGCAGACATACTGATTGCAATGAGGGCAGCGCCAGGATGGCCTCCTTGAATTTATTTTGATGAAGTTAAAAAAATCAAAACACTGCAGAAAATAAAACAAACAGATATCCCTGTGAAGAGAAAAAAGGAGGGAATATAGCGAGGTAATAGAATCCATTAGCCCATGGATAGCTATATACAATTAACCCTAGTCAAAACAAGGTATAAATTCCACAGAATTCGATGCAGATAGCATTTTGCACATTTGATAACACCACAACAGCTAAGCAACTTGGCATTTGGCTTGAGCTATCTATAGGCACTTTTATCAGAATAATTGATAATTATGTATATTCTTTTTTTTTTTTAACACAAGATAATTATGTATATTCTTACTGGAGGTGTTTTTGTTTTGAAAAATATTAATTTCTGTTTGACAAGAAAAAGCTTCGACTGTTCAATTTACTTCCACAGCAGAAGATATATTATAATGCCATTCAACATGATTTTTATATTAGCCAAAACCAGAAAACTTTATTTTAAAGAAAAAATCACTTTTTCCTTGGAATAATTGTATTTTAGCTTCTGCAACATGTCCAGATGTATTTGAGCACTCTTCTTACATTCATTCTTGTGCTCAACCTATCTAAATCTTCTAGCTTAGATTTGGACACTTCAAATCTTATTCTAGATGACCTGTAACTGCCAACTTAAAGAAATTATTTTTAAAATTAAAAAAAATGTAGATAATTTAGAAAAGATAAGCACAAAGAGACCACTTGCATACCTAGACAGGCCCATATGTGATACTACTAAAGGAAGACTCACCTGGAAGTGTTTGCATGAGCGTCCTTTAACAGGAGTCTTGATACGTTTAAAGCTGTTTGGCACATGTAAAAGATACGTTATCAATTTGTATCATAAATCAGGAAATAAAAATGAAAAGGAAAAAAGTTATCTGCAAAAACTAATGAACTTTACTGATAAATGAACAATCTTTGTCTAACTTCGGCATAATAATGAGTGCAAAGAAGACAAAATAAGCTGCAAGATGAATAAAGCCAGAGCCCACAGAATGATCAAGGTCTTAAAAGAAGGGGGAAAAGATGAATTGGGTGCAGATAGGACCAGATACTAAAATAACACTGAAATATCCTTCAGTCATAAAACTCAGACAATAAAACAGAAATTAATCCTTTTTCACTTAAAGGAACGAACTAGGATTCAATTACAGCCATACCAGAGAAAAATATGAAGACAACAAAATAGAGAAACCGCAAAGGAAAAAAAAAACATTCCCCTAGCATTTGAGGGGCTAAGGACTCTCACAAACCCTTACTGAACCTTCACTCCTCAATACAAATAGCCAACCCACAGTGCTTTTGAGAGTATTTTGGATTCATTTTTATTTTTTTAATCAAATATTAAAACATGTAGGGCCCGCTTGGTATGATGGAAATGAGTGGTATGGAAATGGACGTGGAAAGGAAATTGGGAAAAATGTTTGTTTAGTATGATGGAATTGAAAAATTTACTAATTCCAATTCCCCAAAATTGGCAGAATTAGCTTCCATCATAAAAGCTCAGTTTTCAAATTCCATCTTTCCTTTTTTCATTTTTTTACCCCTTCCTCTCTAATCCAGCTCCTGTCAACCTTCCCACTGCCTGTGAATGTCACAACATTGGCAACCTCTAGCAACCAGCATTGGCGACCTCCAAAACACACAATTCCTCCTTCAATAAAACTTTTCAGTGACAGTGACAGATCTCACGAACTAGGGTTTGTGATCCCTACGTCTTCCTTACTTCCTCAGCAACCACCACCATTGTCTCCTCTTCACCACCCGTTCTCCACAATTTTTGTTAGCATCTGCTCAACAACGATGACTCCTCCTTTTCTCAGATCTCAAGCTTCGTTGTCCTCTCTACATCTTCAATTCTTCATCTTCTCTACCATGTTTCAAATTTATTTTCTGATTTTGTGTCATTTTTCAAATCTGCTTTATTCTGTTGATGATTTTAGTTGTCGTCGATAGGGGTGGGTGCTGTTGACTGTCGAGGGTGGCTCTGCAAGTTTTTTTTTTTTTCATTGAGCAAGGGTATTTTGGTCTCTTAGCACTATGAAAACACATTTTAATTAAAAATTATATCATAATTCTATGAACATACCAAACATGCTTTTAATCCCCATTTCCACTTTCATATCCATCTTGATTTCCATTAAAATCACTTCCATTGTACCAAATGGGGCATTAAGGAAGGCAAATATAAGTCATTGAGGAAGTTATTGAGAGGGACCTTTTGTTGAACGGTTTGTCAAGATTTGGTTGTTGATAAAACATAATAGCTTAATGCAATCCATATAGCCAGCTCCACTTGGAATAAGGCTTGTTTGTTGTAATCAAATAAAACTAACTTTTCTTTCCCATGTTCTTAACATCAAACCAAACAGATTTATGGCAATGAACATACCATTATTCCATTGCTTAATATTCTATTTCGCTTGGTTGCCATCCTTTCCAAAAATCAAACAATCCCTTTGATGTATGAATTGTATATTAATATACATATGGTAGTCAGTTAGTTTATTTGTTGGTTGGTCAGCAATGGCTATTAAGGGTTAAGAACTAATAAGGCATATAAAAGGTGGTGTCTGCACTGATTTGGAATTATGCTTAATGAGAAATTTAATTCTGTACCTCTATCTTGTCCCTCTGTTCGCTTCTCCTCCCCCCCCCCTTTTTGACTACCACTCTACAACTGTGGGGTGTCAAAGCCAACCTTCCCCAGCCCTATATGCCTAAAACTTGTCCTCAAGCAACCCACATTGTGATGGCAGAGCAAATAGAGGAACACTTGAGTGTTGGAAGAAAATTTTCTGCGGTTGCAGAACATACTTGATCAATTACAAGCATTAATGGCCCATATTGCAAGGCTTAGCCAGGAACGAGAGGAATCTGGAACCATGGGCGTACAGTGAACAGAAGGAATAGCCAGAATGTCCATGGTCTGAGAGACCCCAGAGAGACAAGGTGGAAGTACAAAACTGAATTTCCCATTAAACATAATTCTGACTGTCCATACAGCCTCTTATATGCTCTATTAATTCTTAACCCTCAACACCTAATACTACTGACCAACCAACCAACCAACCAACATATGAATAAATTTACAATTCACACATCACCCTTGATTAGGAATCAGGACCAATGGAAGCCTTCAAATGTATGAGCATAATTTAGATTTTTATTAACAATTAAGTAGCTTTAACAATTTGTTTTTTATGGATGAGTTGTCATGATTTTTTCACATCCAACTGAGGATAGACATCTTGAAGATTATCATAAAAGAACTACAAAGATGGAGCAGCAAATGAAGCTAGCAACCCCCATAATTCAAACTCAAAATTAAACCAATAATTTGTTTGGATCCTTCTGCTTCAAGATGGGCCACAAGTCACGGCCACTACAGTTCAAGTGTTCAGCAATGCCAAAGAAGTCCACCAATCTTTTCTGATGGATAGATTCCACGCACCAAAAGACTCAAAAACAAAGCAAGCAGAAGCTGGGGAAAAAGGAAAAGATTGACCACAATTATAAACAAAGAAGATCAGAACATACCTTATGGGACAATTAAGTGAAATTTGTGATGGACCCTCGATTATATCAGAATCTAATTATACAAAAAAGAAAAAAAGGAAAAAGAAAGAGAAACAACAAAGTCACGCATTCAACATTTAACCCAGTCATGGAAAAATCACAATGTGCTGTGACCTATAAACTAACTAAAGAAAATGAAGCAGCAATCATTTTATTGAACAATTTATGCTAATTATCCAAGTATACCTGAATCGAGTGAGGTAACAGCAGGCTGAACATAATCCGGAATAACTGGATCCTCAGGCAAAGATTTGAGACTCATAAAGGCAACAAGTACAAGATAATCACCTTCACAATGAATAATGTAAAAGTCACATATATTAAGCCATGAGATGATAGGATCATAGGAAAATGAGAGATTTCTGTTCAATACTCACCATTAAATTGGCCAATAACCTGAAGAAGATTCGTTCCATATTTAAGCATACCAGTCACATTTGTTGGCATTTGTGGTCCAGGGTCCTAGAAAATGAAGTTAGGGGGGGGGAGAAAAAAATAATGTCAAGCCTATGAAAAAAAGTCCTGAGAAATGTTTCACAATATATCTGCAAGCATAAAAACAAACCATCATAACATTAGTCCTTTTGTCTACTCCTTTTCCATTGAGAAGAAAGCTACAAAAGACAAGATAAGTGTTAAACACCTTCCACTTCCGCACAATAAAAGTAAAAAAAGGTTAGAAATGATCAAACCTGACTTGTTGAGGAGTTACGAGGCATGCAGATGTCTCTAAGTTATCTGTCTGTGCTACCAATAACCACTGCCGGTGAAAATATGAGATGCAAGTTAGATGTATAAAAATAAGAGAAGTATTGTGCGGGAAACCTAGATTTATTGCATTTATTTCTTATGATAGGATAATGAGTAGGTGCTGCCCGTGTAGTGTATCTTGACATTTATCATAAATATTTGCTATTGTTGTATAAATTCCCATGCTTTGTATGATATTTTGCAATCAATGACATTAATTCAAAGCCATATGATGCTTCTCAAACCCACATGGTATTAGAGTGCCTGTTCTGAAGATAAATTTGTCTGCTTCTGCTTGCTCTTCTCAAATAGTTAGAGAGCATTGTGATTATGAGTTAGGGAAGATTCGGTCCACCATTAATTGTTGGCCGTTGAGGTCACCTCTCACCTAGGGATAATCAAAAGCATCCAATCAACCAGTCCTTGAATTCCAGCAGCCATCCATGAAGCATGTAACTCTCGTGTATCAACAAAAGAAATTTTGACCTCATCCACACACCAGCACGTGGAGGTGCATGTGGCAGCTGTTCCTCTGGCGATTGGATTGATTTTGTTGGTGTCAAAACACATTATTTCTGGTCAAACCTAGGTACTTTTCATTTCCAACCACTCAGGCATTGGGGATGCGGTATTATAGAAGCCCAAAGCATGTGACTCATGTTTTAGACAATGGGAATCTCCCTTTGGTGCGAATAATCTCTTTGCTAAAGGAATTGGTGAGATAGACTATCAACCTTCAAAGCAGGTTTTTGACAGCATTTCTAGAGGCAATAGAGGCATGTTTGTTTAGTCTGTGTAAGACAAAAAAGCCAGGGCTCAAATTTGGTGAGTTAGACACAACTTCTTAGTCGAGTCAGATTTTTATTCCATCATCATTATAAACCCAGAAGGGTAATTTCATTCAAACCTTAAGATCTTCAAAATTAAAACACTGTGGATTGTTGACTCTGAAGCATCAAATCATGGCTACAACAACAACAACAAGAAGCCTTATCCCACTAGGTGGGGTCCGCTACGTGAATTATATGATGCCATTGTGCTCTGTTATTTATTAAGTTTTTAATAATATTGTTAATTAAAAGGTCTCACTCAAATCATGACTAATTACTATCAATTGTTTTCAACTTATGTTCCATGTGCCTGAAATCTAAATTTAAAATGGCAAATGGCTCTCTTGCTCTTGTTGATGGGAAGGAAGCACTTGTATTTCAGATTCTATTACTTTGGCATCAATCATTCAAGTGCCAAAATTAGCATGTAATTTATTGTTTGCTAGCCAATTAACTAAACAATCCAACTGCTGTGCTAAATTCTTTACATCCCATTTTGTTTTTTAGAACCTATCATCAAGGATGGTGATTGGAAGTGCAAAGGTGTACAAAGGGCTCTATTACACCATGTTTACAAATAAAACAATTTTAAAAACTTCTTACAATTTTATCCTGCGGAGAATGCTCTGTACTCTTTGTGATATGAAAATCAGTTACAAAAGCTCCATATCCAGGCTGCATGGTAGGTAAAACATAAAGGAATATACAATATGTTATCAACAAAATACAAAACAAAATAAGACAGTGGCTTGGCAATCACCTTGACTTCAAGTGATGCAAGTATCTGCCCCATTTTCAAATTTGGATAAAACCTGCAAACACATACATATAGAGAAACAACTATGTCATGTAAAGGGAGTGGCTCATCCAATACTTAAAAATTTAGTCCTTCTTAAAATAACATGCACCAATCATAGAGGATGACCTCCAGGGTCCAAGAAATAAAAACACTCAAGCAAGAATTCATAAGTCATAACTGTGCACAGTACATAAGTTTTTCACTAAAACCTTATTCTGGTTCTCTAAAGAAGATCTAGTATCAATTGACTACCTAAGAATTCTGGGTACATTCACTGCCTATCAAGTATAATTTTGTTCCAATTTCATACTTCCAGAGGTACTAAAAGTCTAAAACGATACTACGCAATCCTCCAAGAATTAAATATTGAATAGTTGAAACCGAATCAATTGTTCTGGTACTTTAGTGATGAAAATATGTGAGATGTCATTTGATAGTAGTTACCTTTGAAAGACCAAAAAAGGGCTTTGGTCTATTTTTTTTAAACCCAACTTAGATTCCATGTTGTAACAAAAATTAAACAAACAAAGAAAAATCATGAAAACCAATCATTCTTAGATTTCATAGTTTTCCCCTTTTCGGCAGCATTTAAACCAAGAACTCAAAAATCTAGTACATATAAAAGCAAGATGGCATGCATAAGACTCCATGCAAAGATGGTAGATGACAATTATAAAAGTATCCAGGAAAACTCTGACTCGCTTACAACCAAACAATTGTTTTTCACCCAAAGAAAAAAACAATTGCAATTGTAATAATACAAATATTTATAAATTATAAAGCTCTTTGAAATTCTCATAGTAAAAATTCAATGCTTACCTTCAGAACAATTGCAAATTACATAAAAACACTGTAAGCCACTTTTAGTTCTTTTAAATTAAAATTATTTGAAAAAATACAATAGAAATCATGCAGAGGAAGTGATAAGGGCTCCAACCTTTCCATTATTGTTGAAATTGTGGACTGGTAATGACTAGGTCCAGCATTAACATCCCCTGTACTACAGTAGCTCTTCCCCATCTGCATGAAGAGAGATGATCATCATAAATAAGATGATAACAAGCCACATAGCACACAAGAAATAAGATATAAGCATACCTCATTAAAAATAGTCAAAAGATCTTCACTGTCTTTCGGGTGGAACCATTCGAGGTTGCAAGCATGCTGTGTGAGTAGAAGATCCACAAATAAATCAACGTTATGGTGCCTAACTGGAGAAGTGCACTAAATGACATCATCAACAACAAGAATATGCCTTATCCCACTAAGTGAGGTGAGCTGATTCATATACTTCAAGATCATGTACTTTTCTTCAAGATGACATCATATACTTAAAAAGGAATCCATGATTCAAATTAGTCTCCACCTGATTGCAAAGACCCATGATCAAGATTTAAATTTTAACTTATCTTCAAGATGATGGAAGCAGCTTAGCTTAGTTTTTTTTCTAGCTTTTCCTCATATCAAGCCTCGTGCTTGCCTTTCTACTCAGGAAAAAAAAAACTAACCAATAACAGACAGAAGTTCATGAATTTTGAAGTGGACTTAGGGATCTATATGACAATCATTTTGATGCTATAAACAAACCTGAATTGTAAAGAGATTCAATTAAGGGATCTATATAATCATCAATTTGAAGATATAAACAAAATATTTCCCCTCAAATTTCTCCTGCTATAATATCAGATTCAGGGATCGAGATGATCTTAATCAATTTGATAGTACCCCAAAAAAAAAAATTCAAATGATATTGTTATAATGTAAGTTTCATGTGACATATAACATTACAGAATACTTAACTAACTTCTGTTGTAGTCAATAAGTAGCCTGCCTCATAACTGATGAGTTCTCTCAATACTTTAAAAGATTTAGAAACAAATGGAGTCATTATAATTAATGGCAATTCAAGAAATTATTAATAGCACTATCACAGAGAAATGCACATCACTGGATATTTTCACCTTTACAGATATCATCAGAACCATAATAGCTGCTTCTAAGAAATGAGTATATTTCTGTTGACATATCTGCAGGAAAAAGGAAAAGTAAATTATTTTTTATAGCTTTCAATTTACATGCTTAATATAATGTTCATCAAAACAAAGATGCACTGCCCCTGTGGGAGAAAGTGACATTTGGATCACTGGAAATCACCTGTTTCAATAATTTAGGCAAATCTTGAGCTTTCACTGGAATTTCATTATTGGCAAGTGCATAATCAATACCTCTGTCAAAGTAAATTTCATCAAACCCATCATACTAGTAAAATAGTGAAACAGATTCAACTCAATCCACAAGAATTAAATATCAGGTCAAATTTCAAAAGAATGAATAGTACAACATATGCAAGAGCCATGCAAATGAGAAAATAAGGCAATATTGAATCCCATTGTGATCATAAGGGGGCAGTACAAAATCTAGAAAATGAAAATTAATCAAATAATTTTCTTCTTAAAAGAACCACAGTATTACAGAGACTACTATAAGGCAAAATACAATTAAGAATGTTGAAAATTAGACAGTCAGGCTAGAAAATATCTAGCTTAAACAATTTCAGGAAAAATGAACAAAACCAAATGCTAGCCATTAGTAATCCACATAAAACAAACAACAACAAGAAGAAGCTTCATCCCACAAGGTGGGATATGGATTGCACAATACCATCGTACTCTATCATCAACCAAATCTTTGAAAATATTGTTAATCAAGAACTCTCGTTCAATAACTTTCATGAGTATTTTTTTTAGTCTTCCTCTACCATTCTTTATAGAGCTAAAGACTATTTGTTCCACTCTCCTCACCAATGCCCTCATGGCCTTTTCTTTTCACCATCTCAAACAATTTTCTATCATTTTCCACGCAATAAATATTGCACCAACTTTTTCTCATATATGCTCATTAGTCATTACCAATTATATCCTTTCGTGTATACCTACAGATCCATCTCAACATTCTCATCTCTGCTACTTCCACTTGATACTCTTATCGTCCTTTCAAAGCCCAATGTTTACTACCATATACCATGGCTATTCATATAGTAGCTTAATAAAACTTTCCTGTAAGCTTCTTAGGTACTTTTCAATTACAAATAACTCCTTTAGCTTTTCTCCATTTAAACCACTCAACTTGTCTATGTGCAACTCCTTTAGCAATCCACATAAAAATAGAAAAACATTTAACTCATAAAAAACAAGTTGGAGGGCTTAGCTCCTAACACAGGATAAGTAGAGTTTTTATTTATTTTATCAATAGAGGTGTTTGAACATAGAAAACTGTTATCTCCTCTTTTTTTTTTTTATTAGCATTAAATGTTATTTGAGTTGTTCAATAAGATTAGAAATTTAGGATTAGGATTTTTCCTTCAATAGCTTAGGGTGCGTTTGGAAGTTTAGAATGGAGTGGAGTGGAACAAACATTAATGGAATGAAATGCAACAGAACGTTCCATTGTTTGGGATTTATGAGGGGAAAGAATGGTCTTATTTAAACATTGTTTGGAAATTATTATTAAATGGATGGAAAGGAATGGAACATAAATTTTTCTTTTCAATATTACCCTTCATAAGTTAACTCTATTCGAAGGATGTGAATGTTGCTTTAACTTCCTCATATTGCATAATAATTTGGTAATAATATCTTCCAACAACGTTTCATCCAAAAAAAAAAAAAAATCTTCCAACAACAACAACTATTCATACTACATAAATATGCACATTAACTATTGCGATAGAGAGAAAAGGTGAATTACTCAACACGGTGGAGATTACAGGAGAGCCGAGAGGAGTTCAACAAAGTGTGGAAAATGAGATGGTGCTATACAGTGGTAACTAGATATATACGGTTACTATTGCAGAGTTAGTTTATAAGCATTAATTAGGGTTAGTTTTGTAATTATGATATTAATTGTTAGTCATTCCATCCTTAACACCCTCCCCCCTTGGAAGGAGAGAAAAAATTGAGTTGATGATATCAAGAGATGGCTTAGGAGGCAATCTCCGACAATGCCACCTCCTCTTTTTTTTTAAAAAAAAAAAGCAAAAATCTTCCAAACAATAGCTTAGCTTGAGCCCTTTAAACATCCCACTCCATTCCATTCACCCCTAAAAGAACTCCCAAACAATAGTGTAAAAATTTAATAAAAATAATGACGCCTTTAATGATTGACTACTTTGTTGAGAAATTTGAGAATTTGTTATTATTTGTTGTCATGTTGCCTTCCATACTTCTACATCACTTATTGCAGCAGAAATTCAAATTCAACAACTTCTCTATTTAGTATGAGATGCAACATTGTTTTCAAACAGACTCCAAGCCTTGTGAGTTATTAATTGTAATATCTTGTACTTAACCAGAAAACATGAATACAAGAGAAACACTCACCTATCTGTGAAAAGGTAACTACATATCCAAGAGACAAATAACGCCACCATGTCAACACCCTAACAAAGTATCTATTTGAATCTATAAACAGCCATTCACAATTAATATTGCCAATTTTTTATGTATATTTTCTTTACTAACCCTCCTACATCCTGATTTAGCGAAAATGACATCGTTCTAGGCTCTGACTAGGGGAGGAACGCAGAGGCAGGAATTCCTGAGCCCCTATTCCAAATTTCAGATCCTGATAGGGCAAACACTCAATAGACATGCGCCAAAAAGAAATGGAGAAAACAACGAATGAAGACCACTCGACTGACTTCGTTATCCATTTTCGTTCCATTACAAATTCTGACAAGCCCTCACAATACCGCTGTCACCTCCTCGAAGTAATGTTGTTTCAGGAAAAATTGCAGTTCCTCGACTAAACACGAACTCATTACTAATCAACAAGCTCACAAAAAGCTCACGGAACACACAATAAAGAATTCTATGCAGAACAAACAAAGAAAAAGACGGAGAATAAATATTCCAACAAAAAAGTACCTCGAGAGGGAAAGGCAGAGGTTGAAGAATTCACCAGGGTCGGGCGGGTTGCCAGGCTGAACATGCTGAGCTAGTCGGTCTGCAACGGCGTTGATTCTATAGGAATTGATTAATGATGGCGATAAACTGTTTCCAACTCCTGGGTCGGATCCGGCTAACGGCTGTCTCGTTAGCATTGTGCTATTCCCGAGGGCCTCGCGTTTCCTCTTGCCGCACCGAACTTCTGCTTGGGGGAGGGTGAGCGGGGTTGAAGTGCAGGTTTACTAACCGGGCAGGGGAAACACCATGGAATGGATTATGCTTCTAGAAAAACACAAAATCGAAACTTGAGTTCTGAAAATAAATTTGGTTTTTGGATCAAAGACATTTTTAAATTTGCAAAATATAATGTTTTTCCCATATTTTTTCCGTCTCTAAACTTTGACTAAAAAATAAAAACAATCTACCTCGTATGGATTTTTTTACACAAAATAATTTAGTTTTTATAATTTTATAACTCGTTATAATTTTTTTTTTGGGTCAAACAATGAGAAAATTTCATTAACTATCAAAGGTAAAACAGATCCAGAATGCTAAAGCTAACTACAATTTAATACCTCAATAAAAAAACTAAATTGTGTAAAATCAAAACTCAGCAACTAAATTAATAATTAAAGAAGTGTAGAGACAGAGCCTTTGAAATATTATGTTTGACAAGTTTTTTCTTTACAAATCAAGGAATCTCATGACAATTTTATTTCGATTGTTGTAAATCACAGACTGAAAGTAACATACATTTAAACCAATTTATTGAAAAAATTCATAGTTATTTAAAATTTTAAATATAATTCAATGCTTCTCTATATCATTGGTCGCCTTTTTATTTATTATTTGCAACTATAAAAACCTCAAACAATTGTTTGGATAAAGAGAGGAGATAATAGCATTTTCCCGATTACCCACGCTAATCCTATCAATTTTAAATTATAAACAATATAAATTAATGGGTTCTAGAGTGTACATAGATACATATATTATAATCATCTTTAGCAATATCGTTCTCATTTTTCTTCATGTGTTCTCAACACTTTCATTATAAATACTTGTATAATGTGTCTCATTTTTAAGAATACGAAACCTTCTCATTTTATATCCATACCAATTTTCCATTAAATTTCAAAGAAAATATAGAATATGGGAAATTGATCACATAAATCTTCTGCATATATCATTGCCAAAAAATGAATAATAAAAATAAACTGCACACTAATGCATTCCACCAATTGTGGAACAAGTCATAATGCCAGTGACTCGTGAACAATGCAAACTCCAGATCTATTGATAACAAACAATATAAAATTAAAAAATTATTATAACTTTTTTCTTATATAAATAGGCCTGGAAGTAGTATAACTTGTTACATATTTTATATTAATATGTTGATATTCATGGAACACAATTGAATGGTAGACCTGTATTGAGAAACAGGCGCACTGGGGCGCAATTCCACCTAAAGTTGATGCAACTTGAAATGGAAATTCCGAAGGATAATAAGCTATGCATGTTAACTAATGAAGTTTGAAAATCGATTTTACATTTAAAGAAGAAAGACAGGAGTCATTTAGAAGAAAAGCAGGAAACAAAATGCAGAAAAGGGGGGGGGGTCTTATCCCTTGTCAGTCATCAGTTGTTCGTCGTTTGTTAAGGAAGGAAGCCATCATACGATAAACCTTGCGAATCATGACGCAGCATGAACAGCAAAGCCTCCATCCCGCTCACCAGAGCGGACTTACTGCTTGGATGTTGTGTTAATCAACCCTTCCCACCCTGAAATAACAGGGGTAAGATGACGTGATATATGCCTTTGATGATGAGATGGTGGCAGCTGGCAAGTTTCCAGGATTTTCAAAAAGTTCTTTTACACACACACAGACAACCAAATATAGAAAAGAGAAAATAGCAATCAAGAACCTCTATAAGAAATTCATATCAGTCAAGGACAAATTGTCAAAACTCGAATGGAAAATAGACTCGAATGAACTGTTGATAATTTAAAATTAATTATTATTAAAAGATACTTATTGATAAAATACTAACCCGAATTGACAAGTATTCATTCAGGTTTTGACAACAACTAAACCTTAACTTATATAAATTTCATACAAATGTCCTTAATTGCTATTTTTCCTATAGAAAATGATAAGGTATGCCACAAGCCAAATAATACATGCACGCGTAAGCATAAACAGTAGGAGAGGGAAGCCAATGTCGTTTCCCTTATAAGTTAGCACTTCTCTGAACAAAATTCCCATTCTTTTCATTATAGAATTAGTGGATTTTAAAGTAATTTCACATAGATAACAGAAATATCCACTAACTTCAATCAATCCTTGAATAAAATATGATTCTCTCCTTTCTTTCCCTTGCTCTCCACCATCAACAGGTTTACTTAAAAGGTCAGGAGAGCCATAAATATTACTCGTCCCTTGCTTTTCTTTTTCCTTTTATTTGTTATCCATTAGGATCTTTTGATTAACAACATATCCAAATATTTAGCTGTTGATAGAACACAATAGTGTCATTCAATTAATGTAGCCAACCCCACCTAGTATATTATAAGGCTTCTCGTTGAAAATTCATAGAGAGAATCCACACATTTCATTGATATGTGCAACAATGCATTCAGATGAACTACATATTTGTCGATATTCCAAGTATACTTACTTCAACCAGAATCGTCAAAAATAATGATTTTGTTTCAGATTTGCATCTAAACGTACACACGTATCCATCCACACAGTCATAGAAGTAAAATGTGAACACCAACAAGGCAACAAGTGCATGCATATGAAATGATTCCCATTTGTTTTACCTTGTGGGGTGGAGTTCCTGGTCTTTGCGTGCTGTTTCCAAATCCACCTTTTCCTTTCTTGTCAGAAGCTTTAAGGATCTGGAAAGAGCATGTCAAGGTGTCATCTACACTCATCATGGCACCAGCATTGTCAAACTCACCACAGTAATTTGGGGCAGAGAATATGGTCACTAGCTGACGCTTTGCAAAAAACTCATATCCATCTTCAACAACCTGCCATCCAGTAGCCAAAATTTTACATGAGACATCAGTTCAGATCTTCAGCCTCCCATAATTAAGAATGATTTATAATACAAAGATCAGCGAACCACATAAAAGTACGTTACCATAGATTGACAGTGACACAATACAAAAAAAGTAATTATAGCAGCATAGAAAGAAAAGTAGAGAATTTACAATAAATTAACCAATAAACAAGCAGAATAACCTGACATTAATGTATTACAATGTTGCTGATAAAAAATGAAAAGATAAAAGCCCATGTATTAGGAGAAGACCATATTCAGTCGAGGATGGTGACCATAAATAAAATTAATTTGTACAAACAGATTCTCGTATTTAGAGGCACAGCACCAATATGGAGAAAATGAGACAATAAAAGAGAAGTAATGAACAGAGACAAAAGATGGAAGGCAGAGAAAAATTTCCAGACAACCAGAGGCATGCAATAGCCTCATGTGGAGAAATTCTTAGGTGCATGGGATGTAGGCAATGGATAACTGAGATTTCAGCTGTAAAGGTGGGCCTGATGCTCCCATATTAGGCAGAAACCTGAGTCATCTATTGTTCACAACCAAGCCAAGAGTATTCCACAAGCAAGAAATGTCATTCTTGCTCAGCACTATTCTAACTATGAAGCACAGATACTTCAAAAAAGTAAACGTATTCGCATTCGATATGATATTTGTAGGATATTTCTGCATACGTATCCTATATTCTAACATTTGTCATATAATTTTTTCCAGTAATTTTTTATTATATCACTTAAAAACTTGATAAAAAACTTAATATTTTGGTTGATTGCTATAAATATTTTTATACTACTTTAGAAATTCTTTTTTAAAAATCAAAATACATATACCTATATAAATATCCCCGTATTCGTATCCTAAAATTTTGAAAATTTGTTGTATCGCTATGTCATGCCGTATCGTATTAGATACTCGTACCTGTATCTATGCAACTTAGTATTCTAATCATCTCTCACTCTTATTAATTTGAGAACCTTGATATAACAACATTTACTTCAGCCCCAATCTAGAATCCAGCCCATTAGAAGTGTTGCATGAGGAACAAACAACAAGACAGGAAAGGTAAATGATCATGAACAATATTAGTCAGGCCCATTAGATGCTATTCATATACATATATATAATAATATAATAACCTCTGCTTGCACAAGGCTTTAAGCAATCCCCCCTCAGCAGTCCACTTCATTTTTCATGAAATCTCAAGCATACAAATTCCATGTTCAAGCAAATGCATGTTAAATGCAAAGTTTTGAAGCTGAAAATCCCATTGAGTAGCTATATGTTACATTAAAATTTCTCAGCATAAACAACCACCTTTTTTATGAGCAAATTACATATAAATATAGCAAAAGACAGTGAATCCAAAAGAAAGTCAGTCCGAAACTCATGTTTTGTTACCTGGTGAGCTCTGCAAATCAGATCAAGATCATGTTTTTCAAGAAATTCAACAACCTTGTCAGCTCCAAATGTAAATGAGACACCCCGGTCATTTTCTCCCCAGCCATCAAGATCTTTATCAGGATCAGCCCAGAGCAGGTCACAGAGAAGGCCCTGATCAGGAACATCAACAGGGCGGCCAATATTTCTTATCTGATCCAAATTTTTAAGATCAGGAGATAGTCCACCATGCATGCAAAGGATCTTCTCATCTATAAGAGCAGCAACAGGCAAACAATTAAAGCAGTCGGTAAATGTCTTCCAGAGGCGAACATTAAACCTTCTCTTGCATTCATCATAAAATCCATATATACGATTTATGGAAGCACATTCGTGGTTTCCCCTGAGAAGAAAGAAGTTCTCCTTGTATTTGATCTTGTATGCAAGGAGTAAACATATTGTCTCTATGCTCTGCTTCCCACGATCAACATAATCACCAAGAAACAAATAATTGGCTTCTGGTGGGTATCCTCCATACTCAAACAACCTTAAAAGATCTGAAAACTGACCATGAACATCTCCTGGAAACGAAATGTACAAGACAGACCATAGTCACCCAATGTTCAATATTTACAGATACAAGGATAAACAAGTACAAACTACCATTGAAACTGGACATGATTATTGGTGAGGAATCTCTCCTGTAAAATTAATTTGACTTATTGGCGTTTAATTCATGAGAGGTTGTTTAGACTTTCTATATGTCAACTCACACTGCAAGAAGAATAGTAAAGCAGTATCAGAAACTCAAAAGCAGGTCAACCAATGTCAACATTGAGGCCAGAAAATTAAACAATTACCCTTCATCAGATAGAGATGACTGTACACAAAAATGCAACTATTTTTCTGAGAGCTACAAGAGAATATCAAGAAGCTGCATTGCTGGAAGTTGGTGGTCTGTTCTGCATAACAGAGATAGAGCACGCGGAGATGTGTGAAACAATAGAGGAGAACGGGTAGTTGGTTTTAGCAGAAAACTTGAAAAAGTGCCACCCATTGTTGCTGAACTTGAAGCCAGATAACAGGGTTCAAGATGGGCTGGGTTAAAGGGCTGAAGAATCTGAAAGTGTTTACTGATTCCACACATGGTTACAATCTGATTCTGAGGGAAAATATGGAATTTCATCCATATAAAGATGTAATTGAGGAAATCAGAGAGATGCTTGCCGGGGACTGGATAGCTACTGTGATGTTTTTGTAGGGAGAGGACAATATTGAAGCTGACTTTTTAGTTACACAGGGTCATATTAGAGATGAGGTTTGTAGCACCTTTGATCATCCACCCTAAGACATCAATGAGGTAGTGAATGACGAGAGGATAGGTTAATCTAGGTTGGTTTCTTTTGTAAGTAGGTTTTTGATCAATGACACAGTCTTTCATTCAAAACAAATGCAATTATTTTTTCAGAAAAGAAAAGGCACCCCTTTGAGAAAGATTTAGATAATTTTCCATATTCCCTGTCATATTCTCTCTGTCTTCTAACCAAGTCTAGTTTAAGGAACCAGCATGCCACCATTTAAGTTCCACATTTTATGAGAACCCGTATTCTTACCATATACAACAGAATCAATACATAAGATTTCTTGTCACTGTTCTCTTTTTCAGACCCTAGATCGTGTTTTAAATTTTTTGAACCAAGTCCTAAAGGTGTAAATGATTTCCCTTACATGGAAAAAGATATTAGAAAGTTAGAAAGGCTGATACACTATTAGCAAGTAAGATGCCTTAATACATACATGCAGACACATTTAGGTATAGATTATGCATCACTAAGTAATCATGGCCAGGGAAAGAATGGCTGTGATTAATGAAGGAGCCATCCATTGATAATACACAATCTAGTGTGGATCGTTAACAATGGAAGAATTCTAGTGAAACCAATGTGAGTATCTGCACCTTCTACTTCTAGTAAGAGCAGAATTTGCATAAACTAGTTAAATTGCTGTAAGTGTTTCCTGCAAACTGGATTCCTATCATAAGAAATTATTGAGAAAGCAGAAACTTTATAGCATTCACAAACAAGAGGAGAGGCCTTCGAAATGCTTCTATATAACAAAACAAGCCTTGAGAAGGTTTAAAACATCTGCTCATTTAATTATATCCAGAAAAGGCATTATCATAACATAAGTGCTACAGTCTTACATAAACCTTAGATACCTAGAGATAACCTGAACCCTGACATCATATATAAAACTTTGTCAGTGTTTAAAAGGCCAGTGATGTATTGAAGACACAGACTCTACCGTTCCAGTAGTCATGATCGTGACCTATGGCGAGTCACTCTCTGAATAACTTAAAAAACTCATGGAGTTTAAAAGCTTCAACAATTTTCTCGTAAATAATCGTGATTAACAGCTATCTAACCTAAATTGCAGCAGTACAGTAAAGTTAATCCATTTCCTTCAATCCAAAAGTTCTCCCATCATTACCGAGAGCTGGGCATGGAATTCAATAACAATTTATCAATTACGAATCGGGCATGGGGCGGTTATAGGAAGGCCAATGTGAAGGCCAACAAGCAGATACAACCCCCTAAAGTTAATTGTTTGAGAACATCATCAATGCATCATTCACTAGAGGCAAACGCTCTCAAAGCTCCAAACTAATTAAAGACCTGTGAAATGAAAACAAGCCCAACAAATTAACACTGACGGCTCGAGCCAAATGAGTTAGAATGGCCTTAATTACCACAAATCTTTATCGGTGCTTCAAGTTCGAGAAGATTGGGCTGGCTGAGAAAGACCTCCTTGGAGGAGACACAAAGCTGGCGGATTTCGGACTCTGTAAGCTGGACCTGCTTCGTCGTTCTGCCGTTCTTAGCCGCGATAAGCCTTCGGATAATATCGTCGAGCAAGTTCTCGTCCATCAAAAAGGAAAGGAAACCCAGAAATTCTATCTGTCAGAGAAACTGAAACCCTACGTTACGATAATCCTCTTTATACCGAAGAAAACACAAAAAGCAGTTGGAGCACAGAAAGTCGGGATTCTGATAGAGAAAACTTTTATGTTAAACAAGCGAACTCCAAGAGAATCACACCACTGGCAATATACATACATACATATATATAGACACACACATGTATATGATACTATATGATAGAATAACTGGGGTAGACAGCGACTACTGGAGAGTAGCGCGGCCGCCGATTCCCGCTCGCTGGCGACACTTGACCGACGGTGTTATACGCGCAAGCCACCAAATTGCCACTGGCAATTTGCTCTTTGAATTTATAGGCTAAATTTTTTTTTAAATGTTTATTAACGTTAGCATACCAATCAATTTCAAAAAAATATTGGATGAATACACAAGGAACAATTGTTATAAAAACAAAAAATAAATATTACAATTGTTATAAAAACAAAAAATAAATATTATAAAGCAACAAAATAAGTATTGAAATGTTTCAATACCCAATACCCATCCCTATAAGACTTTTTTTATAAACAAAAAAACTATAAGACGTTTTTTAAAATTGTAAATATCAATGAAGTCAATTAAATGTAGTTTAAAATTTTTATTTTTAAAAAATAATATAATTTTTTTAAAGAATATGTCAATTAAAATAAGAGAGAAAAATAAAAATATATAAAAGATAAAATAATGAGAGATAATTTTAGACTAAATTTTATTACTCCCTCCGTTTAGAAATGTAAGGTATTTTTTGAGGAGTTGAATGTTAAAAAATGTAAGATATTTTAATCTTTTGATATGTAATCATTACTTTTTTTCAAAAGTATCCCTGTTAATATTGACTTTATATTTACTATAGAATGTTTAATAAAGGTAAATATAAAAAAATGGAGTTAGTTTGAAAGTAAGTAACTATTTTATTGATAGTGAGATTCGGTTAAAAATACCTTATATTTTTTAATAGAGTGAGTAATAAATTATTATTTTTTTCAAAACATTGTTATGAAATATCAAATTACTTCAAAATAAGCAGCTTATAAGATGGACAAGGTAGCATCTTCTTCCATCAAAAAATAAATATTGTATTCTCTAATTTAGCGATACTATCAGCAAGTCATTTAAAAGCTTTTTTCCCCCCCCCCCAAAAAAAGCCCATATTGGGATAGAGTCATGGAACACGTTTTGCTTTTTATTCTTTTTGGTAGTTTAGAAAATTAACACCAAAGAATAAATTAATACTCCTATTATTTAAGTTTTTTTGAGGGGTGCACATCAGATGTAAAACAATAATTCTTCATCAAATATGTTACATCTAATTAAATAAACTATTTAATGAATATACAGGCACTCGAATATACATGCACGATGTATACATGATAGATGTAATTTTTTTTTAGTTAGTTAAAATTTAAAAAGAAGGAAACATGTTAAACTGAAGCTAAATTGGAATCTAAAATATTTGTAGATGGCCTTATGGCGCGTGCAATGCGGTATTTTGTTAAGAGAAGGACTTTATCATGTTGTTCTGTAGAATTAAGCGCTTTATCCACAAATAGTGGCCGTGTTGATAGCTGCCCGCAAATATCTTTGCAATTGGTTGGTGCTAACAAGTTTAGCAAACAAGTACAACGTGACATCTTCACGGTCTATGGCCTTTCTTAACGAACGTGTCTTCTACAAGTAGCAAGTCCCAATCCTGACTTGAATAGATGCATAAACCTTCCTTTCACCAAAGAGTTATACATGGTGAAAGAAGATTGAGCAATGAAAATTAAATGTTCCAGGATAAATTACACGTGGTTGCCGCCAATCACCAACCCTTGTCGATTTTCACAACTTTTATCATTCAACATAATTTTTAATTCCTGCACTTTACTTAAATTTTATTATAGATTCATATACTTTTTTTAAGTATTTTAAATTAAAAAATAAAAATATAGAAACTTAAAACATAAAAAAAAGTATAAAAATTTATAATAAAACTTAAGTAAAATACAGAGAATCAAAGTTATTGTTTTTCCTTTCTCAATTTATACCTATGTAATGATTATGCTACTTTTCTTTTTTTATACATCCTTCCATTTTTATCAGATTTCTTGGAACTTTGGAGGGACCAACTGTCGTCATTTCTTGTTGAAGGGCTTGAACCAAAAGCAGGAGTAAGAAAAAGTAGTTCCCCATGGCCTGATTTGATTTCCCCCCCCCCCCTCAAATGTTCCTACTTTAATGTTAATATTTAATTTAATGATTTTTTAATTATTACTCTGAATTTAATAAGGGGTATAGTTGGAACGATATAAAATGTGCATTAAATATAAACTATTTGTTTTTGGTATAGCAATTTGGACTAAACGAAATATTTTGATTTTCTCTCGTATTCAACACTGAAAATAATATTATCGTAAATAGATAGATAGAAAACGCAGAGTCTTGTGAATATTAATAACGAATCATTACTCTGACTCATTCCATTTTTGCGATTGAAAAGTCAGATCCATGACTCGGAATCACGTAGAATCTGCTTCTTTTTCCGCTACATGAGTTCACCCCCTGGATCCTCCGAATGGTGAGAAGATATGTAATGAAATAATTAAACAGGGAATATCTAGACAGTAATTGCAGGGCACCTGGCGAAATATTCCGTTTTAATACAGTGGGATGTAGAATTCGGTGCATAAAGTGAAAATAGTAGGAAATATTGGCATTCAATACAAGAATATGTATGTTCCCCACCCCCCACCAACAAAAAAAAAAAAAAAACAAGAATATGTAAAGCTGTGAGCCCTGCCCCGAACACTTATCAGCTCAGAGCTTGGGGAGAAAGCCATTGCCACCCTCGATCTTTTCTTTCTTTCTTTGGAATATAGAATAAATGCCAGATTACGTCCAATTTCCAAGCAATAGAATGGAGGGAATTAAGTGGTGATCCTGTAGACTAAACAACTATTGACCGTCAAATGAGCTGAGCGAATAGGATCGAGCCACGTCAGTTGTCAAGGGAAATAAACTGCCGATGAATAAATTGTGAAATCGAACCTGATTAGCCCGTAATAGCTTACCTGCAATAGTTTTTTTTCCCCATTCTTTTTACGTAAATAAATATGTTCATAAAGTATGTACGCCAATGTTGGAAAAACCATACATGTCTGGAGTATTGGTTTACGGTTTAGGAGTTGGATTTCTTCCGTTGAGGGAATCTGTTCACTGTCCCCCATGTCCGTCCAAATTCCAAATTTCATCTAACTAGTTTAAATTTAACATATTTATTTTTTTTATATTTAATAAAGAATTTTAATAAACATGTTTGATTATTACTAATTGGGCAATCTAAATTTGGACCACCTATATTAAATCTGAATTGTTTAGACTGATAATTAAATTTAATATGTTTTAATATTTATAAATTGACTATATAAATACACTGTAGGTAATGCAAGTTTAATATTAAAATTATAAAAAAAAATAATAATCATCCATATTAAATCTATAATGTCTAGACTGCTTATTAGACTTGACAAAAAATTATATAATTTTTTATTTTAATAAATATAAAATAAAAAATAACAATAACAACATTTAATAGGGACCATACACATTAAATTTGGAGGTCCAAATTTAACGGGGACGGAAGGAGAAAGATCGAGTCTCACGATTGACGATTCAATGATTGAACTGTAATCCTAGTTGTGGTTTAACTAATCATGGACAAATTGATATATTTTAAATTTAAATAATATACGTAATGCCCACAAAATCAACCAACTAAACAAACCACTCTATCATGATAATTAAGGTAGTGTCACTAATTAATTATTACTATGGTAGAATATATTTAACCATAGTTGCAAAGAAAACAACAACAAAATACGATCCCATTTTTTTCAAAACATCATCTCAGAACAATGAGATCAAAATAATCAAACAAACCAAAGCAAAATAAGTAATCCCATTAATGATTATTGCCCAGCAACATAGGGATGCAATAGTCATTCTCATGACTTAGGTATTCAACCATGCTTGACCTCCCATTGTCACAATTTTGCATAACTAATCATGAGAGTCAAAAGTATATCAAACCATAAACTATGCATGGAAAACAACATTCAAGTCCACATAAATATCACCCATAATATTATTAGTCATATCACAAGTCTCTTGAGTGCAGATTAATAAAAATGACTAGACATCCCACAATTAACAATATTTCAACATATTAATTAATTTATAATAATATTACTAGCCCTAAATACAAGCTCTCGTGAGCTTGGCTCATAAAAAGGCTAGGGAGGCAACAATCTATAATCACAAATTAAATTACAATCATAGATATATGAAGATATCTCCAGGTGGCAATATAAATATTACCACACAGAGTTAAAGAAGGATATGCAAGGTATGATATAGTTTTAAGCCTTCGAATCCTTTCATTTGCCACTACCTAAGGCATTAATTGCTTGAAAATATTAATTACAAGACGAGATAACTATCTCAATAGCTAATGGATCATAACTTCTAACATATGCATGCATGTATAAGCATTAAGAGCATGTGAAGCAAGAAAATTATAATATTAAATCATAATAAAACACCTAAGTGTGAATGATCAATTGATTTTCTTTCTTATCTCATTCTTATTCCTTTCAACTGAGTCCAAGAATTATATTTTATAAAAAGACCAACTCATATGATTGGATTAACCCAAGCTCTTTAGTGTTAAAGA